TTTCCAGGGTGACACACTGGGTAGCTAATGCCACCAAGTGCATCCAAAAATGAATGTTTTTCATATCCTCTGCAGCGAGGAATGCTGCAGCCTCAGGAAAATGCCAGTGATGCTCTGAGAGAGGAGTGTAGCTCACTCCTTCGGCCCTGCTGTGCTTCCAGGGAGAGTTTTTGGAGATGGAGCGGGTACACTGGTGGTTACATAATCCCTTGGCTTCTTCCCAGACAAGGGAAGGGTGAAATTACATAGCATGACAGCGCAGGAAAAGGAGGCTTGGAGCAAATTCCTCCTTCCCTCCCACCCTCCTTTCCCGCCTCCTATATCAGATCCATACAGGCAGTTTGTCAGAGGAGCAGTGCACAACATAGCCATTACATCCATGCTTTCAGGAGACAAGAGTGTATTTTACCATTAAAAACACTACCAGAGCACTGTCTTGAATTTCACTACCTATGAAATATAACTCCCATTCTCCTTGGAACAACCAAACTGAAATATGAAAAGCAAATGTCGAACCATATTTAAGTCAATGAATCTAGCTTGTTTCAGACCAAATATTCTTATCCACTGTTAATCACTTTTTATTACCTGGGTCTCTGGCTTCTCCATCAAAGACAGTGTTTAGCTTTGTCATTTGCTGTGAAGAGAGACAATATGTGAAACGAATTCTGTGAATTAGTTAAGCAAGAAGGAGCAGTGACTTGGAAATGTTGACCTACCTGGATGGAAGCAGATTTGTATGACCTGTATATCACATTCTTGCAGGCTGAGTTTAATCAGAACTGGCAACAAAAGCTATTTGTGGTGTAGGGTGTTGCTACTGGATGTTCAAAGGTGAAGTAATAAGGTCTGACATGCTAAATGACCACACGAGGGTCATCGCCGCCCTGAGGAGGCCTGGTAACCTCCTTGCTAAAGAACCTGGGGAAGGGGAGGTTAGTTTGAAAGCACTTTGCAGCCTTTATGCCTTTGAGAAGGAGCCCTGAGATGTTCTGTATCTAGAATCATAGAATCACAGAATGCTTAGGGTTGGAAGGGACCTCTAGAGATCATCTAGTCCAACCCCCCTGCAAACGCAGGGACACCTAAAGCACGTGGCGCAGGACTGCATCCAAGCGGGTTTTGAAGATCTCCAGAGAAGGAGACTCCACAACCTCTCTGGGCAGCCTGTTCCAGTGCTCTGTCACCCTCACTGTTAAGAAATTTTTCCTTAAGTTCCTATGGAATTTTTGATGTTTCAGTTTCCGGCCATTTCCTCTAGTCCTATCAGTGGCCACCACTGAAAAGAGACCATGACCGTCCTCTGCACTCCCTCCCTTGAGGTACTTATAGACACTGATCAGATCCCCTCTCAGCCTTCTCTTCTCCAGGCTGAACAGGCCCAGCTCCCTCAGCCTCTCCTCATAGGGCAGATGTTCCAGGCCCCTGATCATCCTTGTAGCCCTGCGCTGGACTCTCTCCAGCAGCTCCACATCCCTCTTGTACTGTGGAGCCCAGAACTGGACACAGTACTCCAGATGCGGCCTCACCAGGGCTGAGTAGAGGGGCAGGATCACCTCCCTCGACCTGCTGAAAGTAAACATCTGCAAGTAAATATCTATTTCCAAGGAAATAACCTATTTTTTTTTGCAGCTTGGGTACATCTGGGTCCACCTGTGCTGCTCACGCTCCTGCAGCTCAGAAGTAGCTGCAGAAGTCGGTGACGTTTCAGCACCTGGTGCTGGTGAAGCTGGGGCAAGTTGTCCTCCTCCCTGCATCTCTCATACAAAGGGCTCTATAGCCACATGTCACAGCCGTGTGACGGGGTGGGCAAAACATTTCTTTTTAGACTTGAGGATGGCTATACTCACCAATATCACTTCTTTCTTAGGTTTCTTCTTTTCTATGGGAAATAAAATGCATATTGTAAAAAAAGAAAAGATTTTTTTTCTGACAATGATGGTAGATATTAATGTCATGATTTCCCCAAACAGAGAGATGTTTGGTATGCAGCTTCTGAGACATGTCAGATGAACCTTGTTTCCTTTCAAAGAATGAACCAGA